GACTAAACAGTCATGACTGAAACATGTCAAGATTGCTAAAACAGACAAAGTCTCCATTTTGGAGACTTTGCCAAATGTAACACGACATTTATGCTGTAAGATTCTATTTAAAAGGATGTTTCTTGGTTGTTTTTTTTAAATTCATTTCCTTTTCATCTTCGGTATTCCAGCAGATATTAAGGATCTCACAGGTTTTAGGGATTGCTCATAATTTCCCCCACCTTGTCTAAAACATCAGGTCCATTTCTTCTGGAGATGCACAGTCTTGGTTTTGTCTAAATATACCTTTAGGCCCAAAAAGTCAAATTTGATTTTATCAAATCGTGACACATCTGTCTTGTGATCTTCCTCCTTTGTCCTATTTTTATACAAAAACCCTTGTGAAGATCCTTGCCTGTTTCGGCACAAGGTGCTTTTATGCTTTCAAGTTAGCTGCTTATAAAACAAGAGAAATATCTAAAAGACCATCACACAATTTAAAATATGAGCCCTCTAACTGTAACACAAGCCCCTTTCAGACTATCAGAAAATGATCCCGCCTTTGTTTCAGGAGCTGCAGGTGACCTTTGCAGGTGGCGGTGTCAGAGTGTATCATTCTGCAACATGAAAGGAGTGAAGCACTTTCAGCCTTCATGCAAAGCACAGAGGGACTCACTTCTTCTGCTGTTATTGAAAAACAAAAACAGAGACGCACCGCTTAAAAGACGAGCGCTGCAAACTGATGACGCCACTCGCACAGGCTACACTTTTCATTGAGCACAAGTTTGCTAATTTGCTGCCATAAAAATGTTGTGTGCAAAATGTTACCAGCAAATAGCTGAAAACAACAGCAGCCTCTTGGCCATGAGAATCAAACGGCGTGTGCGTGCGCGAGTGTGTGTGCTGGGGGGTTTGGAGTATGGCTGCATGGGAAGAAGTGGGAGTAAATATTGTTATCATGTGTGACGCAAGCTGCCCCAAGAAGAGAGTTCTCCACCCGGTCCTTATCGCTGCCCAGCTGCAAAATCCTCTCTCAGCACAAGAGCTTCAGCATTGGGCTGCTGTCTCCAGTCAGCACTGATCCGCAATGAATTCATAAAGGTGAATCTTATCTTTTCTAGCATTCGGTAGTGTTGTCGGAAGAAGATTGTCTGTCCGATTGTGAGAACTGAACAAAACAACAACAAAAACACACTGTTATATTTGCTCAATTTCATTTAATCGAGTGACTTTTTGGAAAAAACAAAACAAACACAAAAAAACACTTTTAGGAGTAATTTTACCTTGCTGTATTTTTACTTTTATGTGAGTCATTTTATTATGACATATTAATCATATTCTAAAACTTCTGGATTCTCTACCCACAGAAGAAAAACAAATATTCTCCAGACACAGAGACACACCTGCAGTTTGTGTTAAAGTTTCCAAAGTTTTTGCTGAAATAAACTGTTTTGTTAAAATGTCCTTTTGCCTGGTTTTGTTAGTTTTTTGTTACTTGTTGCATGCGTGTACTGCGCGCACACACACACGTTACACAAACAAACAGCCCCCCTCCCCCTCTCACATGCTCACACCTTCATAATACAGGAGGTCAAAGGTCATACCAACACCAGTTTACTTTTCATTATGCAATCTGTCTACTCTAATGCCAACCCTGGTTTATGAAAATCAATCACATATTTAGGATAACGTTGACAAAAATGGTTCAACAATCCAACCAGATATCTTTGTCACGTGGTGCGTTTGGAATGTCGAGGTAAAATATCCAGAAAAAAAAAAAAAAGATGAACAAAATAACTATAAAATCTACTCAGTTTGACTCCACTAAGTGATAACTAAGACAAACCTGGTGAATTGTTTTTTCGTACAGTGCCTTGAAGCAATATTTGCTGTTATTGTAGAAATTAACTTCATATCTTTGGACTTTCCTCTTCAGCAGTCGCTGCAGCAAGTCGTCTGTCAAGGAAACAGTAAATAAAGATGTTTATTATTTAGGGTTCAGATCTTCAAGGTGGCTCTGCAGAAACAGACTGTCTCTCTGATAAACACAATCAAAGTTTTACAGCCTGAGTAGTGAAATTAATTAGCATATTTGCATTACTATAGCCTGTCTAAAAAATTAAACATCCATCCATCCATTTATCCGTCCATTTTCTGACAGGCTTATCCCTCGTGGGGTTGCTGTTTCCAACGGTCGACGGATGAGAGGTCGGATAAAACTAAATATTTTTAATATTAATCGGAACCGTAAAATCAGAAGTGTAGAAGCATATCATGTATATTTTATTTAACTTCTTTCACAGTTTGTGTATAAACTACTGAGTAAAGCTATGAATGAATAATGAGAACTGCGAAACTATCCAAAGGTGAAAATGAAAACTTAAGAATAGAATGAATGCACCAATCAAAAAGATGCTATGATGTCACAGCTCAACATGAACACTGAATGCTTAAGAACCAGGTTTATTAGAAACGTCTGAGGCTTTGACTCTCATCTGTTTTTACTTTTGAAACCTTTAGTTCTAGTTCTCTGCTTCAGTTTCAGGGATTTCTGGATTGTACGCAGTAATCAGACTTCGGTGCGGCTTTTGCAATTGACCTTTGCTCTGGAATAAATCTGGTAATTTGCTTTTAGCTCATGACTTTTGAGGAGCGTTTACTTTAGGGAAAATAGATTTGACAAAGCTTTCTTCTCCTGATTTTCAAAATCTTCATGCTGTAAATAAATATTGGCTCTATGCAAACATGATCTGAATATGACTTTATGACTAGAGCCTGGAATTATAGATTTGACACGATGTCGTGCTTTGCGTTTACTCTGCATCAGCCCGGCTCTCCTGAACTCCGCTGACTGGATGCACGGTTAGATTCCAGCTGCAAGTTCACGTCGGGTCACTGACAGGCTGCCTCTGTAGGAATGCTCCAGCTGACACATGGATCACCGCTTTCTGCCAACGATTTGGAGCAAGATTATTTTTATTGAGTGTATCATCTCTAAATCAGTAAACGTTTCGGGGTTTGAGGGAAGCCGTCGCGCAGATAGCCACGCTGTCACCATCGCATGCAACGGTGCAGAAATGATCTTGGGATTACTCGATTACTGCAATTATTGTTGCCTGTAAACGGCTGAAAAGTTGTAGAGAAAAAGAAAAGCGGTTAAACTTTCAAAAAAGGAAAACAGAATAAAACGTATGGTTGATCAATGTCATATAATTATCTCCAGGCCACCAGTTCGACTTATAATGGAAAGACAGACTAAAACCCCTTAATGAAGTTCCTTTTTCAGCCCAACCTCCAGCCCATTTTCCTATTAGTATTATCTGGGATTAAACTAAGGCAGAGTGAGATCATCTAGAATTGCAATATAATATTTGTGGTTTTTATATTGCATTGTTTTTGTAAAAGGTAACAGCTGTAATTCTTGCTGTTTGCACAATCTAGTCCGGTGAGTAGTTTGGACCAGTCACTGGAGTCATTTTGACTTTTCAGAAGCCGGCTTTTATCTGTCCACTTCGTCCAGGAGTTGATGCAGTGAGACTGGCCTTCTGCATAAACTCTCAACAAAACCTGAGAGCTGCAGTGTTCCTCAGTCGATCATCAGCTGCAGGTCACGTTTTTAGCAAGCTAGGAATTTTTCTGCCTGCCAAACTAAGTTGTGTTTGATACTTCTATAACTAAAGACACTAGAACAAATTGTCTCCAAAGGCTAAGTTGAAATCCCCTGGGTTTACAAACCTTTTTGTGATGAATAATAAAATATGGCGCGTTAAGGAGAAACATTTAACAAATAAATAGGGAGAAAAAAATCACATGAAGTTCAGAGAAAGAATCTGAAAAATCTCCAGAAAGGGTCCTGACCTATCAACCATGAGGACATTTAAAAAACGAAACAGTAAATGAAAAAAAAGGACATTCAGCAGCTTGAATCCAGATCCCACCTTCTACCAGATCAGAGAATCTGCTCCTGGGATTCTTTAGCTGATTCTGTTTTCCACTAAACTTCATCTACTACACTCTGAGGCCGGCAAAAAAATTATTTATATTTTTTTTTTGTGGAGGCCGTCTTAAGGCTGACCTTACTGCTGGCCTTCACACTGTCTGAGCAGTCAGATATTGACTTAACCAGATCAGCTGGAGATGAATCCACCTCTGGATTTGTCTTCCTGTAGAGACGTCAGTCAGGATTCCTCCACAGATCACCTTTCATTAACCCATGACGATTTGGACAGCAATGATCCTGTGTCTTTCATATTGTATCTTTTAGCACCTCGATCAGTTCTTCAACTTGTTAGGCCAACTGAGGGTTTGTGGAAATTGTCCGTAATCAGTTTCAGGTTGTTTTTTTTTTAACAATGTTATCGCTTCGTTTTCATTGTTTGCAAAAAGATGATCAGCTACAAACATGAACAGATCAGTGCATGCTCTTAAAATGATGCCCTAATATGGCAAAAGTTATGATATAGGAATTGCGACTGCTTATGTAACCACAACCCCATGTGTTATCTTGGGCTTATCTTCCTATGTCAAAAACTAGATTCAGGAGCTACGATTTATATTTGTTTAGTTAGTTTTATCAAATCACTTTAATTTAAGCACAATAAAAATGGTGGTCAAGGTTGAATTATCTCATCAGAAAACCTACAAGCTGCTACAAATTCAATTTCTATCAATATGTTTTCTTTTCACTTCAGTTTACCGACGCTGAAAAGCGTAGATAAGAAAGTGAAATCAAAGCTTTTCATTCTTTTCAACAGAATAATCCTCCCCACTAATCTTTCTAAAATGTTACTTAAGCTCGTTGGTTTATCGGGCTGCTCCACGCAGACACGTGTGATGACCTCCAGAGCGCCTCCAAACAGATCGCCGTCCCAACGCCAAGTCGCCGCCAGCCAGATGTTTGCGGCTCTGCTAAATGTCACGTCAGCTCGTGTCGAACCGGCTCAGACGCTCAGGTGAAAGCCAAGAGACAAAGAACGCCACATTCTCCTTGAGAATTACAAGTTTTATTAAAACTGCTACATTTGTTCTCGTCGTGGTGAAATAAATAAGTGAGTGCAACAAATTATTACAAAAAAAAAAAAAAAAAAACGGTTTACGAAAACAAGTCAGTATAAAAACCTCTCTTTGCATAGGAGTAAAAGTGCTAAAACACACATAAAGGCCTACAGCGCTAGGCATCTACGGTTTGTCGCAAACAGCAAAGCTATAAGCCTAACGGAGCTGACCAAAAAATGTGAACTAAAGTGGCTTAGACAGGTCTTGGCCTGTAACTCAACATGTGCAAACTTACAGAGCAAACAGCAGGTTAGACATGAGGACATGGAAACCAAAGCAAGGCTGGCAGGAGCAGCTTCAGGCTTCACACACACTAAGCTCCCAGTCGGACCAGAGCATGGACCTGGACATCCTGTATGGGAAGATGAGGAGGAAACCAGAGCAGACGGCCAGCAGAGGCTCATCGTGGTGTTACCGGATGGGGGGGGAGTCAAGGAGGAAGTGACAGCTGGTCTGGAAGCAGCTCAGCAGTCTGCTTGTTCCAGATCTTACAAAGATCTTCACAGCCCTCCATGTCTGGGTTCTTATCCGACTCCGCTGGTACCAACTTCACACGAGAGTTTGTTCGAGCTGTCGCCAAAAATCTTTCATGTTGAAACTGCCGAGCAGATTTCATCTTCAGACGGAGCGTCCCGAGGTGGCGGGAGGCCAGCTGGTCGAGTTCTGCATGTTCGCTCTCACGCGTGACGATATTTTGCTTTTCCACGGAAGCGAGGAAGGAGTTTTCTTTCTGTAGGCCTCTCTCTGAGGGCTGTTGGGAGCTCCCAGGTTCTCCAAAAGCCTCTTCCGAAACACATCTTCAAACTGCAAAACCGGTAAGATTTAAAGTTCAGTGGAGGATGTTAAAATAAAGATGAACAAAAAAAAATACAAATGAAGAAAAGCCAGAGTCTCACCATGTCTAGCACTGCAGTGGTTGTGTGTGTTGCTGTGGTTGAAGTTGTGGTTGGGGATCTTGTGGTCAGCTGCTTGGCTTTTGGCTTGGCACAATACATCTCCAGGTGGTAAAGTTCACAGCCAGAGGATTTACAACACTGGTCCACTATTCCCTTCCCCCGGGGACGAGGGCCGTACCCCGACCAGGAGCCTTTACCTGCAAGGAGAGACGCACCGCACATCAGCTCACCTGGAGCAAAATGCTCAGGTAAACAAACCAGGGGCTACAAATAACCACCATTCTGACAAACGGGTTAGCAGAACTTCTGCTGATTTTTTTTTTCCTTTAAGTTACTTCAGCTTCTTTAAACAGTATTAGAAATTGAATTCCAGTTTTATGTAAGGAAAGAAAACACTTTGTGACTAAAGTTCAATAGCAGCATTCCTGTGGTGAACATTTGATCATTTATAGCAAAGGGTGAATCTGCAACAACAACAAAAAAAAATCCTAACATCAGCATGTGAAAAGATTAGGCCTTGCTGCTGAGCGGATCGTCAATACAGTCAATTAATAATTGGACACTAAAAGGCGCTAAATAAGTTCGTTTTTTCCAGGATCAGAACCAGGTGAAGCTAAAACTGCCATTGGAAACAGATTTACAGACAGACAATTGTTTAATCTGAAATGCAAAATGTTTTGATTTTTTTATATACACTGCTCAAAAAAAATAAAGGGAACACTCAAATAACACATCCTAGATCTGAATGAATGAAATAAATATGAAAATAATTTCCACTTGTTGTCTATTTCATTTGCACAACAGCAGGTGATATTGTCAATCAGTGTTGCTTTCTAAGTGGACAGTTTCATTTCACAGAAGTTTGATTTACTTGGAGTTATATTGTGTTGTTTGAGTGTTCCCTTTATTTTTTTAGCAATATATATAGTTTTGAATTGCTGCTCTGATTGTGGTGTTCTTTCATTAAATTATCTCTTATTTTTTTTGAGTCAGTATACTCCAATTAGGTGACTACTAAATTAGTCGACAAATATTCCAATCAATTCGTCACGATTAACCCGATTGTTCCAGTCTTCTCTTGTGCAAATATGATCGCATTATGGGCTTTTCTTACATCCTCTTCAGCAAATGAACAAAACATCAGAGTAAACCCAGAGAATTGTAGGACACAATGTCACATGGTCAATAATAATAATAATAATACTTCATTTGAATGTACTGTTTAGGGTGTTGGTGTAAATCTACAGTAGGATGAAGACGTCAAATCAGTGCAATCCAACCGAATCCAACCCAAAGGATATTTTTTGACATCTTATCCTTTCAGTTTCTTATTTATTTATTTATTTAGTTGCTCTTGTTCCTTTAACTGTGGCACGGATTCTGCTGAATCATCAAATTATCAGAAGTTATTTTTTTAATCTTCTGCAGCTGATTAGCTGCAGACAATCAGCCTGACTGGCTGCTGCCTGCAGATCTCCTGGAGTCCATCAGGCCTCCTCTGACCCTCCCGCTCGCTCTGCAGTTTCACCAGGGGGGAGAAAGTAACAAAATTGTGTTTCACAAAGAGGGAAACGCTGCGCGGGAGAGGCGAGAACAAAAACAACCTGCTCACGCGGAGTTACAAAAAAAAAAAAAGCTACTTGGAATATTTTCCGCAGAGAAGACAGTTCAGAGTCGCCTGACATCTCCCGCTTCAGTAAACAGTTTTCTTATCGACCTTTTCGGTTGGATTTGGCTGGACGCGGCACTCAGCTGTCCGTCAGAAAGAACCGAGTGTGTCGCGGTTCTCTCTCTTTGTCTCTCTCTGTCTTTCTGCACCTTCTCCTCCTGCGCTCAGATAGCGGCTGTTTTGACAACACGGCTATCAACACGGCTACCGAGGCACAGTGTTCCACGGAGTCCACCCGCAGCAGCCTGATAGCGCGGGCAGAAAGCGGCCTTGGTCAGAGCGGGGCGAAAGGTAATCGGGTGAAAGGGCTTCTGGGTAATTGTGCGCGCGCCCGTCGAGGCGATAGGGGCTGGCTGGACCTGCACGCGGAAGCGGAAACCCGGATGATTGTCCGCCGGGAGATGCTGGCAGGCTGGTGTTTGTGTTGAACTGATAGCTTCCTCGGAGTTACATGTGTTTTCATTCGGACATGGTGAGCAGACAACAACCTGAATGTTTGTTTGTTTATTTGAACCAAACTAAAATAAGCCTGCCTTCCTGTTGTATCCTGACAATGCATCTTCATTATCACTTCACATTTTTATTAACAAAGTTTTGGTTTGTTTGGAAAAAAAGTTTTGTTTTTTGGGGAATTTTTTTTTGCCATTTTTCAAGATACATTTCTCTCCCTTTTTTCAGTCAGAAAATTGATTTTCCTCGCAGGACAATTGTCTGCTCTCTCCTCAGTTTAACTGGATTGTTTCTGCTGAAACATCTCTGGATGCCAGTTGAACCTGACTGCCTTGCAAAATGTTTTCAAACAATATTCACTAAAGTAAAATGACCGTACTGGAATCGAATGTGCCCGAAGCAACCAGACAGTGAACCAAATAGGGTTAAAAAAAATAAATAAATTTAAGCAAACAAACTAATATTATTAATGATAGTGTTGGGTTGTGAAAGTATCCAGTATGTTCGTATTAAAATCCATTTAATGTACATGTTATCGAAGCTCTTTGTATGTTTGTTAATTGACTTTTCACCATGAAATGTATCAAAAAACAGCCTTTGTCTACATTTTTACTACGTTTTTTTTGTAAACAAAATGACCTCGTCCATCAACCTCGTGTTTTAAGGAAAACAGATAAAGCGTCTACTTTTCATAGAGTTGACCAATTTCTTTAAAACCCACCCCAAACTACAAACTTGCAGGCTGACTGTGATTTAGCTGCAGAAAGCACACAAAAACAAAGAAACGCGTGGAAGACTCACCTAAGTAGATTCCCCGCTCCCCACAGACGAACAGGAGGTCACTGAGGAGCTCGGAGCCGCAGCGCAGCCGGGCCCCCTCCGAGAACAGGGGCCATCCCGCCAGACACATGCTGCAGTAGAACACGCAGATCCGAACACACAACACCTGGAAGCACAGGGGAACCTTAAAGGTCAGCGCTCCATCACTGTGATAGCAGAACATAAAGCCCCGGGCGTGAAGCTGCTGCTGGACTGCACAGCTCCTTCAGTGACACACTGCCGCTTTCTAAATGTGCTCCGGATCGCAGAGCAGCTGCTCCCAGTGAAGATTCACATCCATGCTGGTATCTGCACAGCTTTACTCATTTCACATAAGATTTCTGCCTTTACTAGTTTTTGAAAAAAGACGTTTGCTCAAACCGACGTACATTTTTTTTAATTAATCTGCCCAGTTGCATATTCCTTTGGACCTACATACACTATTTTTAATAAGTGCTGAGAATTTATGTGGAAATTTTCCTTTTCCTGTTCTGTCTACTCTTTTTTTATTCTTTTTTAAATATATATTTTACATTTGTGTGAGTATGTTCTTAAATCGCCTGCCGCTTTGCTGCTATGGCATTAAAATTTTCACTCTATTTCATCTATTCCATCCCACTCTAAGAGAAATTAAAAAGAATCACTTTAACAATGTTTTTAATATGCTTTGATTCTACTGAAATAACAATAAAGCACAGTTTTATTCAGCTTGTCAAATCAAACTCACACACAGAAGATAAATCTTATAAACCTTAAGATTTATAATAATGCCAGTCCACACATACAGAGAAAGAGAGAGAGAAATGGACTTTTAAATTCTGTTAAAGGTAGAAACTAACTGGATCTATTAAACTGAAGCAGCAAGATGAAGAATAATAATATGGAGAAAATATTTATGTAGTATCTCATCTTAGTGACAATCTGAAATGCTATCAATAAAACAACAATCAGATGTTTGTTTCGTTTTAAATTTGGGATTAAATATAGCAAACAGCAGCAGCATCTTAATTTAAAACTCATGTTATCCACAGGGATCAAAACGTTTCTCCAGCAATTCATCATCAAGACTCATTGAATTTAAAAGCCTGTTTTTTGTTTGTTTTTAAAACAAAAGCTTTCTTTAATAAAAATGTAATGAGGTGATGTGTTCCTCATCACCTCATTACAAACAACCTCAAACTGAAACAAATGTAATCTGTCTGTCTGTTTTGTGTAATCTTTCATAACTCATCTATCATTGAATGTTTTAGCAGTAATTTAACAGTGATCTCCCTCTGCTCCCATCTGAGCAGATTGTCTTATTTTACCACCATATTATTGATTTAAACACTGATCTTCCTGCACCAAGGATAGGTGACCATGTCCAGTAGAGAGCTTGACTGGTTCGGTAGTGAATGAGCAGCGGCGCGGAGCGGAGGCGGCTTACCTTGAGTGTGAGTGTTGGGGCAGGGTGGCGGCATGAGGGGTGCATCCTGTCTGGCTATACGGACTTCAACCGACCGGCACACTTATACAGAGAGAGCCAGGGGGACGTCCTCCCGCTCTGCCTCCCTCCCTCACTCACTCCTGACGTAGTTTCTTTCTCCGACCTCATCCCAAACCACTATCAGAGTATTTACTGGGCCATATCACCGCCATGTAACCGGTATCAGAACGAGAACACAGAGGAGTCAGTCAGTTCTGTCCCCCTTCAGGCAGGCGAAGTGTGCCGTTCATGGGTGTCTTCCAAAAGACGAATTCAATCAGATTTCTCAATCCACACAAAGGCTTTTAATGGGTGAAAGTCCTCAGTGTGAGGACAGGCTGCAAACTCATTTATCTAGTGATTCCAACCACAAGCAGCCATTTTCAAACATCAAAAACCTTCCTGTAAAACAGATACTCAGACTTTCACTGAACACCAGTAAAAGGAAGCAGTCTAATGAAACATTTTGACAGACCTGAAAAACTCTTTGTCAAAGTTTTTCATTGTATTGCTTCATTTTACTGGTGTTGAATGAAATTTCGGTCCTGGTTATTTTTTTAAAAGAATGGGTTTTGTTTAAAATAGCTGAGTTTAAAGTCATACAAACAGCAATTCCTGCATTGAGTCTAAAAAAAAGGAAAAAGAACAGAAAAGTCATCAAAGAACCAATTCTCAAAAATGTAGTTTTATGTAAAATTGTTTTTTTTTTTTTTTTTTTTTAGCTTTGCATCATGTTATTTACTCACAGAAAACATACCTGGAGTGTTGCCTGATTCTTTCATGCATGTTTGAGAAATTCTCACTCAGCTCCTCAGACTAGCCAGCGGAAATTAGCAAACACCTCATTTTGTTAGGTGTTTGCTAATAACACCTGTTGAGCTCCTTGTAGCTTCTCAGTGCTAACGGGTTAATAGAGCTGAGGGGGGAGTCATCTACAGTCCTGAAGAGCAGCAGATTTTAAAGACACAGAGGTCCAATTTCAAGGGATTGAGTTACAAAGTCAAACTTCTTTTAAGTCAAATTTGATATATATAGGGCTTGCTGTGGTAGCATAGAAGTTTAGCACAACCCACGTTTGGAGGCCTTAATCCTCGACATGGCCGTTGCGGGTTCGATTCCCAGACCCGCTGAGATTTGCCGCATGTTTCCCCCTCTTTCCTGTCGGCCTACTTTCAAATATGAATCACCAGGGCCCACAAAAACCTGGAAAAACGTACAAGAAATATATGAAATGTGACATCTAGATGTAACTTTTTTATAACAATTGTAGATAAGTTACCTGATTGTGCTTTAAAAATGACACTATATGCCTTGAAAACACATAATGCCCCTTTAACAGGATCTTCAGTCACAGAGACCCAGGTTGTTTCAACAGCTGGGGCTGTTGACTTTCCAAAGATTTCCAAGCCATTTAGCAGAGTAGATAGCTGCCAACCTGACATCCCGTCTTCAATCTGAAGGATGGAGCATCCCTCTGACTCTGCTTCCTCAGTCTGCTCAAGTACCCCTTATCTGCTAGTGATGGACTGCTGGACTCGTCTTTGTTTCCTCACTTATGTAGTATCTAGCTCTACAACTGCAGAGACGTGTTAAAAAGGTTTAACAGAAAGAACAAGAGGGGGGAGGGGGAAAGAGTACAAAAAGAATCAGATTCAGAAAACCCAAAGGTCTGATGAGAAGCGCCAAAAAACTGGAAGGAGAACGCAACATAAATTAAATAAATGTTAGAAACAGTTTGTGGGAGATGGCCCACCAGTTTATTAAAGTCAGAACAGCAGCACTTTATAGAAATTAACAGAAGAACCAGAGATCTGTCAGCTTTTTTCTCTTCCACATCCTGCCGCCCTAACTGTGAGGCTCACATCAAAAACTGACAGTGCACAGCTGCTGGATGAGGCCTTGCGATGGCATCAAACAGGGTAGAAATAACACTAACTCCACCTGGTGGCTAAAACGCAGTGAGTTTTAGTTAAACTGCATTAGAAAGTGTTTTAAAACTCATTTGTCACAATCTGTAACAGAAACCTTAAAACTGCATTAAGAAACTTATTTCTTTATTTTTTTTTCACATTTGTGTTAAAACTGTCACCATGTCGTGAGACTATAAGAGGTCGTCTGTGAAAAGATCCATCTCCTGCACCTTCTCCCTTAGCTGCTATTTATGTCTGGAAAAACACACCACTGCTGACCAAAAAAAACCCCAAAAGACAACAACAATCATTAGCAGCCAGGAGGCGGGGCTTAATGTTGTCAATCACAGCTACAAACAGGGCCTTGCAGAGACCTTTGGAGGAGCAGGGGCTCAGGTTTAAATAAGGGGCACACTGAACAAAAACACCATACAATATCAAAGCAACAACCCATATTAATCAAGAATCTAATTAGATCATACTATATCATTGCCATGACCAGGGAAATGCAAAGCAAATATAGTCTATATTTTCCCCAACAGGTATAAAGTTGCCGTTTCTGCTGACAGTCCCAGAGGGCTGAGTTGATCTGAGGAATACCTGGAACATAAAGTGAGAACTTTTCATTGCAAAGATTCTGCAAAACAATGACCTCTCCGGTTCAAAAAGACCCACTTACGCATCAGAGGGTTAAGCCGATACCCTTTGCTATTACAGTTGTATTTGTAGAAAATGGTGTCAAAATGATGTTTATCGCAATAACAATTTACTATCCAGAAAGGTATGCAGAAAGGCTTAAATAAAGCCATCTGTCCTTACATGAATCTTAATGTGAAGATAAAATGTGTCAATGGTAAACTTGGACAGAGCAGCAAACTACTGTTAGAGTTCAGTGTTTAAACATTATTTACATGAACTGTATGTTTAAGTAATTGGACGTTTGACTGAAAAAAACACCCAGATATCTGAAGAGGTCTGTTCATCATAGTTTATTTATGCTCATTTCAAAAGATTCAAACCACTGTCTATTAATCTGAATATAAGAGTAGCTGTCACAGCATTAAATAAAGAGTTTGTCCTTGTAAAGTGGAGACATCCTCCAAGTCTGACTCTAGTGGTCATGGGTTTGAAACGAGTCCAGAATGAGCAGGAAAATCCCAGTGTAGAAAAAACAAATGGCAGATCATCTCATTAATTTATGTCTAAACTAGTTGATATAGTTTCGCTATCTCCTCCTCCCGCTCCAGCTCTTCATATTCTGAATCTCTGGATATGGAGGCGGCAGCGCCCCCAACAGGCTCCCCCGATGTCCACCACTGTCTGCCACTGTGCTCATCCTCCTGACTGTTCACCTGACTCCCATTCATGTGATTGGTCCAGACCTCTTCCTGGTCTCTTCCTGGACTGTCCCCGTCTGCTCTGCATGTGCTGTCAGAAGGCCGGGGGGCCGAGGACTCATCCCTGACCGAGGGAACGGCTTTTGTTTTCAGCTCAGTCTTCTCACAGCATTTCACTTTACCTGCATCGGTTTTTATCTTCGGTCTGCCATCCTTCTGGAAAACAGGCAAACAGAACATCAGGCTAAAATTGTTTCATAACAGGAAATGTTTCACAGTAAACTCCTCATTTTAACCTCTGCTTATTGTCTTCGATGTACAGTGTCGAAGTGAAGTAAGGAGAAGAACTCATGACACATTTACATTCTCCAAAATGCACATCAAGACCCACCCAGCCTGGCTTAAGCGTAGTGTGTTCAATAGAAAAATTTAAAAAGACTTTTCATCTCCATCCCATGTGCAAACTGTCTTTTCTGTCTAAGGTCCCGAAAAAAGTGGTCCATATCCAGGAAAAGTACATGTCTATAAAGTTTCAATCTGGATTTCAGTGCTCTGGAGTACAACTAATTTGGTCACAAATGCGACCAGATTTCTCAATAGTAAATTTGGAAAAAAAAAATCTCAAATCCCTCAACTGTAAACACACAGCAGGGACAAAAGAAAACAAAAAATAAACTCCCTAAGGTTCATAAAAGGTACACATTGAGCCCATAAACCAATCAGAGACAGTAAAGGGTGGGATCCTTGAACCTTTCAAGGTCTGTTTCCTGTAGTCTGAGGGAAGTAGGCCAGACTAGGCAAGGCAGGCAAACAGAGAAAAGTTCAGACCAGATCTACCTGTATGACCTTAGGTTGGTTTGGGTTCCAGAGGTAAGAGTGAACCATTCAGTTTTCACAGACGATATTTCCCGTTTTACTAAACTATTTATCCTGGTGTGGCTTGTGGATGGCAGGCCTGATGTTGAAGACTTGGCAGCCTGAGAAAAAAAGACATACCGGCTGCCGTTTCTTTCTCCTCGAAGTTCTTTTCTTGGTCCTCCTGATGCACAGATAAATCTGCCCTTTGTAGATGACAATAGCGTCGTCATCGGCCAGCAGAGCTGAGTCCCGACTCAAAAGCTCTTCTTTGGACGAACGTCTTCCAGGGGAGATGTTCTTGAGCACGTCCTTGGCTGCTCGGTTGGAGGAAATAAAAGACATTTTCAAAGGACATCCTGGAACCTGCGAGCCAACGAACGAGAGCACCTCGTCAGCCAAATGTCTTCCTGAGCCTGAGACAGATTCCTGTCCTTTTCTTCTGACCACCGCTGGACAGATCCACGTCACATCTGTTGAGTCACTCTGCTTCCGGGCAGGGTCGCCCTCAGAGACAGGGAGGCCTATTTTCCCGATGACTGACTTTGGTAAGCTCTTCAAGGGAACAGTTTTCACCTCGGCCTCCACAGGAATGTTAATTTCCCAATCACCACACTCTTCCATGATTAGATTTATCTAGGAAGAAAATAATAAAGTATGATTAATCTACTTTTCATGTCAACTAAATCCTGACTCAGAAAACATAATTACTGCATTGCACTGATTCAAGAAAAAGAAAAAAAAAAACATACTTTTGTTTTAAGGTTTCTCCAGTGCCCAGGTGTGGCCTATAGCAGGTTGCACAAACTCATCGCTTCAAACAACATTTATTTTACATCAGTGAAGAGTTTTACAATACAGCTCCTAAAGGTAACGTTTATAAAAGTTTAAATAAATATAATAGGTTTTAAATACTGAACAGGTGAAAGGGAAATGACGTTTGAAACGCCTTTAGTGTCTAACCCGGAAAAGTAGATGTGAACTGGGATGTTAGCTCTCTGTCGCCCTCTGCTGTTCCCACCCAGCAAATAAGTCTGACTTCGGTTTTTGATAAAGCGAACATATCCAAGACTCCTTCTGCCTAAACGCATTCAGTATTCTTTGTTAGCTCAATTTAATAAGACAGACAGAAACGAGACAGAAAGAAACGAAAATCTTCTTCACAATCAAAGGTTACACTGAAAAAAGGAGGGCTCCTCGTCGAACCAATATGAGCTGTTATCAAGCTAAATATTACCAAAAAGCTCTTCTCACAAGAACCATCACGACCTTTTCCACTTACCTAGATGAGCGCGGAAGCAGACGAGTAAACCACTAACACGTTCACGACAGTACAATTTCGATTTCCCAAAGAAAAAAGACAAACTTCCGGTGCAGACCTTGTCAGAATAAAAGCGCATGAAACCTGCAGATCTGGAGTAGTAACACATCAGAACGACAAAGAAATACCAGTTTTTTTTTGGTTGTTTTTTTTTACATCTATTCTTTTTGTCATTCGTTTGGACAACATATGCACTTTTAAAATATATTCCATCTAAAAAACTGGAATATTGTAGATAAGTGCCATAATTCTTATATGCGAATCAGTTCTTAAATACCGATTCGGTATATAGGAAAAATAAATCAAGATTGAACTTCTGTGCATTTTTAATGAGTGTTGCTTACAGGTAAAAAAATAAATAAAAAACTTATTAGAATATTACATTGGACCAATCAAAAATGAATGTTTTAAGCACAAATGTCAGGCTTTAAAACTGTTCATTTCTATGCACTCTACTTTGTTGAGCCTCTTCTTGCATGAGTTACTGCATCAACACAGGGAGCCCAGATCGCTTTGATCAGCCTTCATCTGCCTTGTTGCTTTTGGTGTTTCTCCTCTTCCTCTTGACAACAGCCCAGAGATTTAATGCATCAATGTGGCAATGAATTTCATATTGTTTTGAAAATGTTTAGAGGTCTGATGTAATATTCCAATCATAAGAATATGATTCCTAATAATATTGAAAAACAGGACTATGGTCATTGTAGTCCCAACTCTTTCATACATATATGTGTGTATATAGAGTATATATCAACATTTTTTCCCCATTCCAAATTTTATTCTATAAAATAAGTTATTGAGTTTGTCAGTTTTTCATTTTTCTAAAACTTAAAAGTAGAAAGAACAAAAAGTTTAAAATGCAACTTCAACACTGACTTAAGAAAAATACTGCTGTTATCCATTTTATTTAGCTGTATTTCTACCATTTTCTTACCACTGAAAGAAATAAAATATTTGTACTTTCCATTAGGCTTCAATTACAATTTCCTCTTTCAGAAGAGAAGAAGATGGCTGTTTGTGGTGGGAGAAATTAAAAATAAAAATAAAGAGAGACCAACAACCACTTAGTGGCAGGTTTTCCCACTAGAAGATAGAAGATGCTGCAGGATCTGCAGTGAGAAAAATGACCAAAAAATGTAAATTAATTAATTAATAAAAATTTATTTAAATAAATAAAAAAACAGCTGTTTTGTATTCACAAGATGATTTGTGTTGGTGGACTGAGGGCAAAATGATTCAGAGGATTAGAAAAGTTGGGAACCTCTGGATTAGAATTTCAGATTAAAAGCACCTTCTGAAAATAAAGTGGAGGTGGGTATGAAACATACTTTTCTTTAAGCCTACATTTATGTATTAAATTGTTTATAATCTTAACTATTTTTTCATTAGCAGGACACAATCACAATCAACATAAATGAAGGCTTTATGGAATTAAAATGTGTTTCACTTAGTAATTGAGTTTCTGGGGGGAAAATAAATCAAATTACTTTAATATGAATGTACATTGGCTTAGGAATATTTAGGCTGTCCTCAGAGGAACTTAGTCCAATGAAAACATCTTAATGTAGAAATGTGGGCTAAATGAAAGATGAATACTTTGTACATGTAAAGTTTTGGTATTTAGTATTTCACACTAACTTTTTCACTTTGGCTTTCTCTTTACCAATTAAATGAAATAGACTCGCACCACCGTAAGAACATTAAAACAATGAATTTACAAAGTGTGTGCTTTCCTTTAAGCATTAATGTAAATTAGAATGAGAACATTTGCACTTTAATAGTTGTTAGAAAAAAGTTAGTACAAAGGCAGCTAACTTTGCAGATCCAGTGCAGACAGACTGGATGGGCAATCTGATGTTACAACAGAGGTAGACTTCTTATTTTACTGGCAAATTAGATACAGCAGAAACTTTTCTGGCACACATAACCACATCAGAAAGCACTTTGGGTGGAGCTTTAATCCATAGGACCAGAACCAACTGTTAAAATATTAATGCATTATGCATCAGTACAAATTCATGCCATTTTCTCAGTAATGTGCAACCTTAAAAACCCAAAAACTTCCACATTACCTTAGAAAAGGAGTGTTTAGGTCTGTGATTTAGGAGTCTTGTATGTCACACTACATCTCTGAGGTTAGTAAGTGTTGCATGACTCCTTTTTTAAATAGACTAAAAATTAAGAGGCAATGAGAAACCAACAATAAACTCAAACTCTAACCCTATATTAACATTAAAATACTAACATTGCCTTAATAGAAACCAATTAGTGCAGCTATTTGTAGAGTCGTGCTCAGATACAACCAAATTTATAAAAACATGTTGCATATTTCAGAAGAGTGTTTAGAAACGGAGCAAAAATGTTACATGACTAACTATTTCATCCGTTAGGTGAAACATGAAGCTCCTGTCTAGTGTTGTAGTGTTGTAGTGTCCCAGCACTGCTTTGGGTTATTTGTGTTGCTTTTTTGCCTGATGTTCATTGGGTCTCCTGATCTGTTCGTGTCTTTTTAACCCCTCGGGGACAGCGGAGAGGTCACTGCCGGCAGGAGGCTTGTGTACCCCACAGTTGGGGTGGCTGATCCTCGAGGAGGTTTTCCTCGCAGCCTTCGTTCGCCCTACTCGTTTACTTGCCGGCTCTGTCGCTGACATCCACATCTCCAACCCTTCCAAACTGGTGCCGGATTTGATAACGGGAAGAAAAGTAGGGGGGACACAGCACAGACACATGGTGCGTTTCCTTGTCCGCCCCATTCTCCTAGTGTTCGCGTTGACTTCCACATCTGTCTGTGTCTGAAGGTCCTCAGGCGAGTCCTGTAACTGGGGAAGGTCGTTTTCGTCGGTGAAGTCCTCGTCAATGGGTTCAATGTAGTTGAACACAGACTTGGCTTGAGGTGAAAAGGAGCAGCAGTTTTCCTTTGAGACACACGGATTTCTCAGAGTTCTGGAGTGAGGAGGCGGTGAGTGCTCCCCTTCAGTCCGGACGTTAACGTCCAGTTTATCTGGACTGGGAAAGTCCCGCAGAGAAACCTCTTTGGCTTTTACAACATCTCTCGACAGGTCACTTCCGTCCACTGGACCTCCGGACTTTGTTTGTACCACGCTTGCTGAGACACACCGACGTGGGATTTCATCAATCTTTTGAAGGTAAATTTTCACATCAGCTGTAATCCCAAACATGTTCCTGAGCTGGTGGTCGGACTTTTGACAAGGTTCTGGTGCTGATGAAGATGTGCCCACAGGACCAGGAAGTTCAGAGATGTGCTGGTTAGAAAAAAAACAACACAATTATTCAACAACAAAATCTGCTGGGTAGAGAAAAACATAGAAATGAATACATAGAATCCTTCTTTGCATATTAATCTCCAGAGGCGAGTAATCCACGGTCAGAGAAACAGCATGCTGCCTAGGATCTACATGAGTTGGAAATTTGTAGAAATATACACAAAGATTTTAGGATTTAAATTCAGAACATCATTTTAGTAAGCTCCTAGATCCCCAGATCCTCTCCGACCCCACCCACCCCAACCATGGACTGTTTTCTCCCCTGGCGTCTGGAAGAAGGTTCCGCAGCATCTTGTGCAGAACAACCAGATTACTGAACAGTTTCTTCCCCTGGGCCATCAGACTGCTTAACGCCACTTAACACCCCTCCACACACACTCACAAACCAAATGACCCCCCATGGACATGGTCAATACATGCACTTTAGTTTTGTTTTTTTCACAACACAGACCCTGTGTATTCTATGGCACTTGTATTGTATTTATTTATTTATTGGGTAGTATAAGGTTTTAGCTCTGCTACACTGGTAGCCAAGTAACGACATTTTGTTGTCAAGATTCACCTTGTGTTTTTTTTTGTACAATGACAATAAAGGAAGTCTAAGTCTAACACTCTCTAACTTTCTTCAGTCACTATAAATGGTTCTGTTTATGGGTGTCAGAAATCCCCTACTGCAGTCAATACAACATCAGTTCTCAAACCTCCAGCTGAAGACATTCTGCTTACATTTTGAGTCTTTGTCTCACAGATCAGTTGCTCCAGGTTTTCCATGATGTTCCTCATGCAGAATCCTTCTTTGCAGAGGTGATTGTGCTATAAAAAGCCACTATATGGCCAGAAAATACATAACTCTGTCCTTCTAAGACTCAGTCCACATGAAGACCAGATTAGATGTATCTGCAAAAATACTTCATAATTTAGGCTGTGTGTCTAAATGATCGTTTGTGTTTTGGGAGACCTCAAATAATCGCTTTTGAAAATGGAACCCAGAGTAGAAAAATCTCAAGACATCAATTTTATGTTTGAGTTTGTGCATGCGAGTTGTGTTTTAAATTTTTAAAACCTGCCGAGAGGTAAAAGTTTTAAATGAAGATGCGTCATCATCTGGGATATTTGAAAACAACAGAAAACTGCCTCTGGGAAGAACAAGCCAGGACTTGTTACAAGTCTTGCTGAAGCTCTGAATAATTATTCATCTTTCTAGTATGAATGGTCTGGTTGATGATCAGGTTTTCACAGGAGCACTTGGAACCAATGTTCCAAATTCAATATGGCCGCCCCGGGCATCTTGTTTCAGCCCAAAAGCAAAGTTTATTCCAGCGTCTTAAAAAGCACAAAGTGGTGAAAATTTTAGATTAGATTTCTACTCTGGTTCACATCAACCAAAGCAGCTCTGGACTAGATCAGTCCAGCTCAGGATCATTGGTAGGCCAACAGCAGGAACATTTCAGTGAATTAGTAACACTACAGTCAATCAGCCACTTTCACCTTAATGAGGTTCCCAAGTGATCAGCACTTTGTTAAATCAGCATGCTCTGTGATGCCTTTGAGTTCAGCAAACATCAGACATGTGCTTGAGGATAATTGCTTTTATGCATAAATTCAATCCAGAAACGTCTGCTGAATCCAGTTCAATCTACTGATTGGATCGCAAAGAAAACCTGAAACTGGTACCAGGTTAATATCAATAACCAACATTTATTTCCATCCTGTTGCCATTTGTGTTTGTCTAAAAACTTAAAAATAGTTGCTCTTTCAATATTACAAGGTTTTTACAAGGTTTTTATTAAGGTTATTACAAGAAGGTTTGTGGTTCTAAGCCTATTTTACTTAGCTGAACTAATGGGGAAAAATGGCTTTTTGGATTGTAATGGTTGGAGACCACTGATCTGGCCCCATAAGGCTGAAGTTGATTTGTGATTCAGGAAACGACCTCACCTGTACTGTGGCAGGATGTTCATCCTTGCTGGGACTCCCTGAGCTTCCCGCCTCAGTGTCCATCTCCAGATTATCTGGACACTGCTCAGTGATTCCCATCAGACACTTTGGGTTTACACTCTCAACTCTGACCAGCTCTGTGGGACCGGAACCATCGAAGCTGATGGGGGGGCTCTGGACCCAACCTGTGTCTCTTCCTCCCGTAGCATTACTCCTGCTGCTGGAGCTTCCACTGCCCAACCCATCCTTCAGGCCAGAGCCAGACCTGGGCTTGGGTGGAACATAAGACACAAAGATCACATGGTCTTCCTCTTCGCAGTAAACGGAGGACATGTTAGAGGACAGAGAGCAGTTGTCGTCACAAAGATCAATCACTTCGTTTGTTAGTGGTCCCGCTGATCTGACTGGCTGTTGTAAAGACGAAAATGAAGATGGAGGAAGTGACTGTGTGGCAATGGGGGTCACAGAAGGCAAGCGGCCTACTTTGGTTCCATAAAACATCCTTCCATCATACAGCATCCAAGAATTTGGATTTTCCGGCAGGGTTTCATTGGGAATTTCTTGCTTCTTGGAGAAGTGGGCAGATTCAGAAGTAGGCGATTTTATGGCTACACAGCTACCCATCTCCTCTATGACCCACCGTGTTGGACTGTAAGGTCTCCCCGATACCTTTGGAATCAGTTTTAACTTGGGGGTTGGTCCTTTTTTTAAAGGTGCATCACAGGTGAATGGTTCTGATCCTGCACTCTTGCACAGCGAATCACAAGTGTCTACCATCGCTGCCAGTTCTCTGACCCTCTCAGCCGCAGAGCCAATGGCTCTGTGGCCCACAGGTGACCCATCCAGAGGTGACCCAATCTCCACTTGGGTCACCTCTGGGCTCTCCGTCCTGTCTGGTGACATGTAGATGACAATAGGGGAGCTACATTTGGTAGAGACGCTTGCAGTTGGAGAAAAGGTCTGATCCTTGACAACTGGCTGATGCTCGGACACGGAGACACTCGGGACATGTGCTTCAGTAGGGAAATTTGGGACTTCTGACTTACAAAGTGCTTGAGATGTCTCTGATGCTGAAATCTCACTGAAGCCTTCTACTGACTGGTATCCGGTCTGGGGAATCCTGGCCCCGGTCTGCTGCTGAGGGTTTTTGGTTTTTAAGGAGTCCATTTGACCAGCCAACACATTCAGCGGAGAAACAAATGGTGGAGAGGCGCTCTGAAGCAGGGGCTTAAACACTGTAAGAACTTTCTGAGGAGCTGCAGTCAGGTAGGACCGTTCATCGGTCTTCTGGAAAGGCATCTGCATCGGGGCGGACTGTCCATTAATTATCTGGCCAGGTGTCTGGATGGGAAAAGACTGGACAGGGATCTGAGTCGGGAAGAACTGTGTATTGAGTAACTGAACAGGCGTCAGGGTCAGGTCAGACAGTCCGCTGGTCCTCAGGACGGGCGTCTGAGTGAGGAATGACTGTCCATTGATTACCTGAGTCAAGCAGGACTGTCTGTTACTCCTTTGGACGTCCTGCTGGGTCGGGGGAGTCTGGCTGTTGCTCCGTTGGAAACGAATCAGCTTCATATTGTCCTTTTCATCGGCTCCAACAGCAGGCATTACCTGGTAGTGGACGCTCCTCCTACCCGCAAAAAAAAAAAAAAGAGCACATGAGCACATGAGAAAAAATAACAGAAATATCAAAACTACACATTTTAATCTCCAAGAAACATTCTCCTGCTCAGCAGCTATTGTAGCTTCACTAATCAGCAGATCAACTAAAAAGCCTGGTTGTAAAGCTGAACTGCAGCCAAAGGAATAGATTTTGAGCTTTAGAAAATCTCACAGAGCTTCAGTGATTCAAAACGGTTGGAAATTAATTTGTGAGCTTCTCTGGCAGATGTGGGATTTCTGAGAAACCTCCAGGCTCTGCTGTTCTTGCTCCAGAGTTCTCGAGAAGATCCCGAGACCTGTGAGGCTCTTTGTGTGCTTACACATGGTGTGCAAATGTGCAAAATGGTGTTGCACATTCATACAATTCATTCCACTGAAATAATTCATTATAGAATGCGGCATGAATGGCAGCTAGTTATTTAACAAAGATTATTTAACAAAAAATTAATGAAGATTCGACAGAAACGATTTCAAAATACTCATTTCAACAGTTCAAGTCATCCTTAATATTTTAGCACTTTATTAGAGAAGCAGCCTAATAAAGTTTAAATCTTTATTAGGCCTAATCAAGCTTAAATTTGTCTGAGTCCCTTTTTAATGATGTAAAGGAGAGAGTCAATGCTTTTTTCGTTTCTGTTACTTTACTTGTGCCTGAACAGTAAAAGGGTTGTCTCCAACATACCTGTCCATGTCGCTCTCCTAAACTGATAAAAGCTGCTTTACAATGAAGGGAAGGAGGGAACAAGCCTCCAGGAACAGGCTACTTCCTGCTTTCTGCTGGATGCGGGTCACAGGTCAGCACATCTACTGACGGCATCCATCACTGACGTGTCTGAAACACCCGGTCATCGACACTTTGCAGCTTATATCTGAACAAACACTGGCGGCTTTTCTTCCAAAGAACACCGTTAACTGAAGTCCCTTCTTCTTCTACGATTTTAATGTTTGCCTGTCGTGCTGCTGCCACCTGCAGGATGGAGGTTTAAGACGATTTGTTTTGCGTTTTTGGTTTTCTTTTTTTCGTCTTTTTTAATTTTTATTTTTTAGATGAACTGTATGAATAATTTTCACCTTTCACTTCATTCGCATTCGGGACTGAAATACATTATTTATAATTTAATTAGATTGAGAAATGGCATTATTTTTATTTTATTTCAAGCATGTATTTTGTCTTTAAAATTAAAGGCATTATGATTTTGTTGAACTATTGCCCCCTGGGGGTAAAAAACAAAAAAACCCATCGAATTCTATCATGTTATTATTTTTCATTTAACTTACGTCAGATTTATTGCTTGGACATCTGTAGATGTTTCCAAACTTTTTAAAAAAATAAAAAGTTACTCCTGCAGAATAATATTTTATAAATAAAATTTCATGAAACTTTTACATCTTTTAAAAGAAATACTTGAGGAACGTTTGCCTCACCGCAGCCTTTCTATGCAGATGACATACGTACCTCAATGTGCTGAGAAACACATTACATTCATTTGCTCTTAGAGAATATATGTTTTTAATCAACCAACTGCGAGGTGGCAAAGGCAAAGAATGTGCATCACATTGCTATATTGCTCCTTTATAAAACAGAGGAGACTTACTTATTTACCAATAAGTAATAATTACAAAGAAATATAATTTAAACAGTCAGGTATTCACCAACATTGTCCTCTTATCAGTGAGTCACTACTTTAAGGGGGTGAATATTTATGAAAATGTCTATGCACTAAATGGATAATGTCTCACTAAAGTTTACACATAATGCAATGGTAGGATTAATATCGATCTCCGTCACTCCTCACTAGTTCCTCCTGTTATCTCTCTGCTTCCACCCATTGAGTCCTTGCTGTTCTTTTACCCTGGTTGCCTGTGGTCTTGTGATTTTTTTTTCCCCAGTTAGTTTCTTAACTTTTTATTAAAAACTTCATCACCTTGCCTCGCTGCATTTGGGTCCACTTTAAAACCAACAGTTACAACAGCTCTTAGTCTTTGCATTTGGGGTCATTACTGAAAAAAACCTTGATTGAAATATTTGATATTTTGAAATTCATAATCAATGAGCGGTTGGACAATACTAAAATGTGAGATTTTATTTTGTATTTTTGAGACTGTAATCAATCAATCAATCAATCAAATTTTATTTGTATAGCACATTTCAGCTACAAGGCATTTCAAAGTGCTTTACAAAGACATGTCAATCCAAAACTGCCATTAAGACGCAGAATGAGAAGGTTGGAAAGATACAATCATTTAAAGAACAAGGCACATTTTAACAAGAAAGTTCAGTTTTGTGCGTTAATGACTGCGTTTGTTGATGGAGGTCTTCACTCGGACTCTTCGGTAGTGGTCATCCCTTCATTCAAAAACAGCATTAATTCTATTGATAAAAACAAAGCAGCTGCAGTAGTAATACAAACAACAAATGTCTACCTGTCCATCATGGATGTGTTTGGAAGTTAGATTAGCCAAGCAACAAAGTACTAAAAGAATCTTACCCTAAATTCACAGTATAGATCATTTTTCTGTCAATCTTTTTGATTTCAGACAGAAATGAAAATACTGACCAAATAAATTGTGTGTGTGTGTGTGTGTGTGTGTGTGTGTGTGTGTGTGTGTGTGTGTGTGTGTGTGTGTGTGTGTGTGTGTGTGTGCGTGCGCCTTAAGTCAGAAATCTGGTCTACAAATCAGATGAGTTCCCATTTAATCTGAACACCGAATACTCAGGCATGTTTTCCCAGCAGATCATCCAAGAGACTCTCACACATGTACAGGCAGCGAGGTACATGGAAGAAGCCTGGAGAAGAGACCACACACAGATTATAATGTGAAAGAAAATTCAAGTGGCAGCACACCCGACCCCATGACCATTGTGTTCAATATATGTTCAGAATTATACTGTCTTGTGTGACTGATCTCTCCGTATTTTAAGCAGCACGTGTGATTTTGTGTTTTCTGCTTACCCTTAAATGGTCCTCCTTTAAAATCCAAAGCGACTTTCCCTTCTTGGGTCAGATAGCCAAACCACTCACCGCTCTCAGGGTCAGGAAACTGGACAAAGACAGAAATACCCCAGTGGATGGAGAGTCACAGAGTTTGTTGGTCATTCAAAATCAAAGTTTCAAAACAGGTTCAGAGGTTGTCAGAAAAAAATCAATGAACTGATTCACGACTAGAAGATAAGATGTGACAGCTTCTACAGTTGTGGAGTGTAAAGGATTGGGTTTGGAATTTAACCCAACATGATGGGATGATAAAGGTGAAAGAACATCTTAATGCAGAAAAGACTGCATTGATGATCCTTACTCTATTGATGATCCTTACTCTATTGATGATCCCTACTCTTAGAACTATTGGGTAAAATTAAGCTTCATATCAGTATGTAGTTCAGGAGATCAGATTACAGTTTTCTGGCTGAAGTGTACAATAAAACTATGTATATAATTATCCACACTTAGTAATATAGAATGAAGCCCATAAGACTGTTGTAAAAAATAACTGTCACACTCTTGTCCTCATGTTAGCAAAGAGAAAATGTGCTTTAAAAACCAACAAAAAACATCTGACATCTAAGAAGAAGAAAACAGTACAATTCAGATTCTTCAAAATGGAAAAAAAAAAAAAGTTTAGTGGGTCGTATCATCTAGAAATTCCTAAAATACAAAAGTCCACTTTGGTTCTAAAGATGGTGATAGAGTTCTTTAGGTCTGACATGGCTTTCAGAATTAGAAATGAAAGGGTTTTGTTGTTGCGGCTGCTTCACCTGCAGGCTTCACTCACATGGCTAAAGGTGTAGTCGTAGACCCTGAAGAAGTTCTCCAGCAGCTCGGGGTTCTTGGTCTGACTGTAGGCCATGAGGAAGGCGATGAGCGCCTCGCTGTGAGGCCACCACAGCTTCATGCTCCACTCCAGCTGCTCACACAAACACAAGGTCCAATCTGGCGCCTTTACGGACACGGACCTTCATATGAAAGGCAAAGTGCAACGCAGCAGTTTCTGCGTGCACACTGACCTGAGTGGGGCAGTGACCATCCACGTCCAGGAAGTAGAAGAGGCCACCGTGGGCTTTATCCCAGCCACTCTCGAAAGGAAGCTCCACAAACTTTTCAATGGCAGTTCTCTGGATCTCCTTGTTTTCGTTGTCGGCAGCATAGCGCAGCAGGAACCAGCCTGCTTCCAGGGCGTGGCCTGTATCAGAGAATGAGACAGAACAGAGGAGACTGTTGAGCAAGCAGCTGGGAACCAGGAAACTCATTTATTTTAACTGACAAAAAGCAAAAACAGGAGAAAAAACAAAAACAAAACAAATGATCATGCAATTTTACATAATTTGTTTGAAAAGGAGCAGGTAGAAAACACAAGACCTTGTGATTTCCTGCCCCTCAACAACACTCATCAACCTACAGACGTTTCAGTCTCTCCACACCAGATCAACTCTTAAATTATTCCCACACTTTATGTCAATTACACCTCACATTTTGATCCATAAATGTGCAATTACTTATACATTTTTAGTATCAACAATAACATTCTTGGTCTTTGATTCACCCATTCTATGCAACATACTCCCAATAAGCTCCTTTTTGAACAGTTTTTTAAGCTGGTTTGTATTTGAACTTTATTAAACTCATCTTTCAATCCATTCCATAAATTGATGCCACACACTGATGTATATATATACATCAGTGTGTATGTATATATATATATATATATATCAGTGTGTTTTGTTTAGTTTGAAATTGGACTCCTTTTATATTACAACGCCCTTATAACTAACCTTATGGTTCAACATTCACTAACACTGAGTGTCACCTGGGTTCTGCAGCCGGCCCAGACATCCAGGCAGCTCTTCTCCGGTCGCAGACACGTTCTCCAGGATCGCTGTGCCGTCTCTCTGTGCCGGATTACACCCAATGAAACAACAAAAGGCTTCAACCATATTCTACTCCAGAATTAATAATAATTAACCTAATGTAAAATAAAAAGCACGCTCTCATGTGCAAAGTCATTCGACCTTCATTTCTTTTAGATTTTACTGTCGTCTGTAAACCGTCAGGCTTTCTGCAGATCTGTCCATTAACTCCAGCTGATTTCAGTCTGGTCCTTGTACAAAACAACTTTTAGACATCGCTTTCATTTCTTTGTGTTTGAAAGAAATGATTCTTGCTCATTCTTACAAGAATTAACAATCATATTATATATTTTATTAGAATAACCTCAAAGCAAATGTCTAAGCATATATAACTCTTCATTAGTCATCTGACCAATAGACCCGAATTCAACATGAAAGTTTTATGCAACCGTCATTTATAGAGCAATTATGTTTCTACCTGAGGCCATAATATAGACTTATATGTCTTCATAGATTTAGACTAAGAAAAGAAAACAGTAAGTTATTTTAAAGTGCAAGAAAGCAAAAACAGAAACAGCTTCATTTGATTAAACATGAACAAATATTGTATTATCTGATTTATTTATACATTCATTTTTCCAGCTGTGGTAAAGCAATAATATCATCAAAACAGGGATTAATCATCTAAGTTTCTATGTGGCACAAATTGAAGAAATGATGGTAAATAATATAAGATGTTATTTTTAATAGAAGTACATACACTAAGTAGATAAGCTTGTAAAATTGCTTAAAACAGTAAATAAGATGCCGATTTAAAACAAAAAATTTATTGTGAAAGAAGTCTATATGTACACCTTTAGTAAATGTTGAAAATTGTCCCTTTGTAGCAATTAATGTACCAGAATTAGCCTACATCTATATGTTAATTTTGAAATGTTTGCATGAAAAACCTGTGTTCACTGGACACACACCTGGACATGTCGCTGAATCTCACTCACACACCAACTTCCCAGTTCTGCGTACTTCTTCCGCGTCTCAGGCCGGCCTTCGGACAGCTGCTGGACCAGGCAAAGCAGCATCATGGGAACTGCCATGCTGTTGGTGGGAACGTCCCCTGGAAGCTGGGGCCTTCCCAGACCCGACGCGTCCTCCCGGACCCAGTAAATCAGCTGCTCCATCATCTGCTCGGCCTCCAGCTGAAACGTACCGCAGTGGAGCACGGGCACACGTACAATGTGTGAGAACCACCAGGAATGTGCCTCCGAATAAATGGTGTTTAAAGGTGCAATATTGTTTTCACTACTTCAACATGACATCAGCTAATAAACACTGCAGTTACAGTAAACAAGTTATTATAATGTTATTAATGGCAAAAATTTCATTGGCATGAAGATTTTTTTTTTTACATTCCCTGTTAGGTAAACAGTGGTGAAGCATCATTTAGCTACAGTCTTAGAAATTAAAAAACAAAATGTAAAAATGTCAAAGTTCATCAGGAATACAAGTTGACAGATTGGGACAGATTTATTCCTACCTGCATTTCCATGTCGCCAGTGACCCTGCTCAGTTCGTCCATGGCCATTATATAGAAACACTCACTGAATATGGTCCTCTGAACTTTGACAGCTTTGCCATCTCTTGTTAAGCAAAAGGCACATTTCCACTGATTTCCATTAGTGGACACACGTGCAAACTTTCTGAGGAATTCTCCCCCTGCAAAGCAAACAGATCAGTGTGGTTTATGTTTTGACGCACCAAAAATCCAACGCCTTTTTTGACTGCTCTTAAATGTTATGCTCTGACATTACCAGTTTTAAGAAAAGAGGATGTATGCTGTTGTTGATGTGAGAGCTTGGACAAAGGAAGCAATCTAATTCTGGTCAATAATTGGCCAAGGCGCATGACAGATAACTGTCGGACTGTAAAATCCTACCAGCTTCGTCCTGCAGGAGGTTATTAGAAAGCAGCTCAGAGCAAACAAAACCCCTGCCCTGAAGTGGACTGATCACATACCCAGGCCCAAAACGGGACAAAAAGCTTCATCACATCATGAGGTGTGTGTGTGTGTGTGTGTGTGTGTGTGTGTGTGTGTGTGTGTGTGTGTGTGTGTGTGTGTGTGTGTGTGTGTGTGTGTGTGTGTGTGTGTGTGTGTGTGTGTGTGTGTGTGTTTATCCTATCAGGAAAAAACTGCCAACTTTAGTTTTAACGATTCAAATGTTTCGACTCACAGGAGCCTCAAACTTACCGGCCTTTGCTGCTTCCAGGATGTCAGGCCTGTGGAAGCGGTCCATGCTGCGATAGAGACGGCAGTACATCCACACCTAGAAAAAAAAAAAAAACATTCAGATGTTAAGTCTGGAAGAAAGTTTACTGGGAGGAGAATATATTGAAACATCCATTGCAGAGACTGACCTGTCTTCCCTGTAGCCACACATACTTCAGCTCATCATAAACATTACCGTCCCTCCCAATGCAAGTGAAGAAGCCTCTGAAGCAGGAAGTGAGACACGTTTGTCACAGAAACCATAACTGAATGCACCGTGACCAGTCGTAGAGCAGATGTGTAGTTACGGTACCCGTGTACGGAGTCGTGGGAATATTTGAGCCAGAATTCCACGACAGCGTCCAGCTGCGCCCGGATGTGCTGCCGGCACTCTTCCAGCTTCTCAACAGACATGCTTCCTGACAGACAGCATGGCGAGATCAACAACCAGGACCAACTGCATGCTGACTCTGCAGCTGCGCTTCATTCATCATTCTACAGTTTTATTACATTCAGAAGAACAAAAGTGTGAAAATGGCCACTTCTAACTGTTAAAGTTTTTCTGTCAATGTCAATAAGTTTGAGCTGAATAACAAAAAATTAAGGGTGCACCGATTTATCAGCCAGCCGATTTTCTTAGTTTTGGGAGATCAGTGATCGGCCGATTTTTATATATGAAGCCGATCTTATCCACTGATCTTATCTAACTTGGCAAACATTTAAGAATCAGCCACTGTCCTCTTTTGCTCTCTGGTGAAAAAGATTTGACTGACAGACTGGCCCACCAAGATATCACTGCACGTTTATAATTAACAATAGTGACTCCACTGTTGTTGTCAATATCGCAATAATTTTCTTGCTATACTGAGCAACAATTCAGACAAAAAAAATCAGTATCGGCCAAAATCGGAATCAGCAGGCTAAGCTTTTTAAAAGATGATTGGCCAGAAAAACACAACCTGTACACCCCTACATTTACCACATTTCCACTTTCTCGCATTTCATTTTCCCCATTTTTTTTCTTTCGTCACTTTACTCTTTACTCCTTTTAATGTTCAAATGATTCTAACAAAAGTATTCACCTAATAAATATTTGGGTAATAAAAATCGAGTGATGACTAGTAAGAGAGCAGTTTGATTTGTGTAAAATATAACCAACAGAGTCGCTTGATAGACATTTGCCTCTATGTCCAACATCAGTGTCTGTCCTTAAAAATGCACTTCCAGAAGAGCAGTCAAACTGATGTTGTTGTGGCTAATACCTCAATGAATCCTAGAAATGACGCACACAAGCCAATTCAAATGACACCTTCTAACCCAAAAACTGCTGACATCTTATTCCAGATTTTGCTGAGCTCAGTTCCTGGCTGCATGTTCATTTTATTGCAACCTCCTAAAAAGTGGTGCTGTCAAAGACAAAATGTTTCATTTATTTACCATCTTCAGTCCTGTTTTAAATGTAAAGTTTTAAGAATTCAAATCTGATCCTGTGGGATTTAAAGCCTCATGATAATCTGACCTAGAGATTCTTCTGCCGCTTGAAGCGCAAACAGAAAACTCTGCCTAATCCTAATCCGTCCTGGAGATTAAACAAGTGAGATGCTGGCTCTCTGCGTTTCGAAACGCAGCTATGTTAAAGGACGGCTTTTACCTGCAGGTCCAGCCGCGGTCCGCCTGTCTGCTCTGGATCAGCTCCGCTGCTTGTGTGGGTCACATGACGCAGCAGGAAGGGAAAATAAACAGCCAATCGGAGCCGAGCAGGTCCGACCGACTCAGGGGATTCGGAACTATTTACATTTAGTTCGCTGAACGCCAGCAGCCTTCAGGAGTTATGTGTTCCTCATGAAGAGCACATATACGACGAGTTATGTATAATTAAGCCAATGGTTTAAGCCAACAACAATTATAAACTACCATGGACATCAGAGCGACTCCACAGCGCCCCCTGTCTGTACAGAAGGACACTCCTGATCCATTGTGATCCGTGACTCATGTTTTTGTCCCATTCTTGATATGATAGGTCAAGAACACTCAGCTGCAAATCAAAGACACTTAAAAAAAAAACACTTTTCAAAGCCAGAAGCTCTCATATTCAAAAGTTTCTGCTCAGGCTAAACAATAAACATATAAAAAATAAAATACTTTATATAGAAATTGACTATCATAAAAGGCCAAAAAGAGAGATTGGATGCAATTCCAAGGTGAACTCAGGGATTTAAAAACGAAAGGCTGCTTGTGCTTTCCTGTAAGAGCCACTCTATTCTGAGAGAACATATTATGAATAAGAATTTGTTCTCCAACTCACTGGTTTAAATGAAAAAGTTAAAAATGAGATCAAATGAATTATTTCTAAGTCAGGTATTGTATAAAAAAATAAACCACATTCTGTCTTTAACAAAAAAGCACAAGAAGGCACGGATGACTAAACAGAGGGTCAAAATTAAAATTAATGAAGCTGTGAATCAACCAACGAATCATGAAAAAAAAAAACCCCAAAAAAAACAGGACAATTAGTTTTTTTTTGTTTTGTTTTGTTTTTAATTAGATAAAAGATCATCAGATTGGTAAAAGTTCTAATTTGCTCATTAATTTGATCTCTGACAAGGTGAACTTAAATTCGGGGGATCTCTCAGACATACCCAACTCTTGCCTCTGACACACTGTACTCACCGCAAACACAGATTGCGCAGCAGGGCGCCTCCCTTCCTCCTCTGGGTCCCTCTGGGTATCAGCAATGAGCGATGTGGATGAAAGCAGACAGTAACACATTCAGTCATGTGGTGACTCATACAGAGATAATCAATACAACCATATTTCGATACCACTGAACACCCGAGTTTCTAATCACATCCTGTTGCTGTTGCTTCAGAGGAACTTGCTTGCCATTTACTTTCTTGCCAGTGGCAGCATCACTGCATTACCTTCTGGTAATGCAGTGATGCAACAGAGGAATCTCCTCATTTCCAGGTTCTCTTCTTGAGTGTTGAAATAGATTCTTTGAACACTCTGGTGAGGAGTTGAGACATTCTGTCAGTAAAGACAGCTTTACTTACTCGAGCAGATGTCAAGCTGCCTGCCATCTCTGTAGTGAGCAGCTTACTAGTTCTAGACGGGCGTAACTTTATATTCTGTTTAGCACAATGGCAGGTATGTTTCAGGGGAACTGTCTGTGCAGCGTTGTCGGTGCTGGTGTGTGTATAGCAGGTAAGCGCTGTACAGATCTTGGGTGGGGGGGGAAGCGGAGCAACATGATGTACTGACAAGAACTCCTGTCTGGTGTTTAGGATGTGCCTTCCTCATTCTGGCTGCGTTCCCCGTTGTTCAGATTGCTTTGGGTAAGTCACACATTATTTTCTTTTCAGATTTGGATTTTGTGTTTGTTTCAAACACATTTCTCCTGCCCTGGATGTTTTTTTTTTTCTTAAATCAACTTATTACTGATGAATATATCTGCATAATTTGTCATTCTTCGGGGCATATCACTTTCGTCACCGAGACCGGCCACCTTTCTGTTGCGTCTGATTTGAAGTGACAAACAGTGCTGGTTGAAATATTGCACTGGGAAGTCAAATCTTTACACATAGTAATAGTGTTAACAAAACCATACTTGTTGGGAGCGTCTCCTGAACAGTGGTGGCATTAACGCTCAGCATGTGTTTGTGAATGAACATGAACATGATGTAATGGTGGAAAACTTTTCTTTTGTAGCCAATTTTTCCATAAAATCCTCTGAAGCCACCAGTTGGTTTTTGCAACCTTTGAAATGGATTAAGAGTTTCCATTTCAAAGCTGTTTCTTGATCACCAGCTGCTTTCTACTCGGTATGATTCTGCCAGTGATTCTGACATAATTTAGGCATGATTCTATAAAATATTATTTAAGTATTTATACTTCAAATATACAGTGTCACAGAATTTGACAAGTCCTTGGTGGTTGTAGTTTAGGATGAAATTTAACAGTGTTATTTTTTAACAGGTGCAGTTTACATACATGAGTGTCCAGCGGCACCAGTTGTTCCAGTTTATATGATGGTGTTTGGGATCTTGGTCCTGCTGATGATGGTCCTGCTCACCCTGCTGAAGCTCCTCTCTCCAGCACCGCAGATTCACAGCACCTGGGTCGTCCTCTTCACCATCTTGTTATTCTTGCTTTTCGTCTGGCTTCTAGTCGGTCAGTCCCAGCTGAGAACCAATCGCTAGGCTTGTCTGTGACGCCGCGTTTTGTTCAATTGCTAAGATGAACATGAATCAATTGTATGTTTGTCTGCCAACTCTCTCTGCACCCTCACAGGCAGCTACCACGTTTACTCCATATATCCACCCAGCTATGAGAGGAATACCACAGGTTCCACCAGGAGGATCAGCGTTCCTGACCTCCTGACCTCAGAGAACCAGAGCCTTCACAGCCGCAACCACAGCCAAATCTTGTGGGAGATGATTCAAATCCTCAACAACACAAACAGAGGGACAAACAGAAACCCGACCAGCGCCCAACAACAGCCGCATCAAGTTGCGCCTGTGTCACCGTACTGCAACAGAACCATGTACTTGTTTGCTTTCTGGACCACTACACTGGTGCTAGTTTTAGTGGGAAATGCCCTGCTGATCATCATCTGCCTGTACGTGTTCATGAAATGCATAGATGTGTTTGTACGTCATCTCTACTGAACCGACTGCTGAAAGACAAATAGAGCCATTGCTCTGCAGAAGGAAAGAAGCAGAGTGACAGCTGTCCTGTATGGAATACTGAAACTGTCAATCAGCAAATCAGTGCTGGAACATTATGGGCTACCAGGAGCCTGTTAGTTAGATATTCACAAAACACAAGTTCCAAGATGGAAAAAATTAACAGAAGTGTTCACTAATAGCTAATTTGGAAATCAAAGCTGTCCTGTGAGAACAGTCATACTTTTGGGGACAGCCTTCTTTTTCTCTCTCACAGCATGGCAAATGCTCTTAGCAGCAAAAAATATATATCAGTGTACTTGGTAGATAAAAAGTGTGAGAAAGCACAATAAAAAAAAATTAAAATAGGAAAATAACTTATAAAAATGAATTGGAAAAGGGAAACAAAAAATAATGTTCTCCAAAATCAAATACAAAGCACAACATGTTTTATTTTTCACGTTTTTTATTATTTTTGATTCTTTCATATTTATTATTATGTTTAGGTTCTGATTTATGTGGCTTACCCCCGATTTTCATAATTTAGTATTTTTCTTCTGTGTGTAGTTCTAGTAAATCGTTTTGGTTCCTTCTTTACCTTTTGGTGTTTTATGTCACTGCACTTTGAAGTCAGATTAAAATCTTGTACTTTTATATCCAGATATAATCCCAGGGTTACTAGTTAAATATAGCTTAGTCACTCTGAAGGTGCTGAAGACTCACTGAAGAGAAAATGTGTCCACAAAAAGTAGCCAAGAACATCCAACTTTTATTTACAGAACTGAAGTACTCTTGGTGCAAAAAATAAATAGCATCTAAAAAATAATATATATTGATTTTATCTCTATGGATAAAATGATGAAAGTGAAAAAAAATTGGGGGATTTTCAAACATTGGGAAGGACATCACCAAATACAAACATGAGTCAGAGACAAAAAAGAGAGAAAAAAAAAGTATCTTATTTCATTTTCTAGCACCAGAAATCATAATGTTTTAAAGTTGAACTGAGGTTGAATATGTTCAAATTTTCTTTGAAATACTGTGGTAAGCATGCAAGTCACTTTTATTTTTTTAGCATATGTAATAAAACAGAGAGGTGAGATATAAAACATCTCAATACATTCGCTCTCCATCTGCTATGACAACATATGATAGACTATAAGGCAGAAACACTGAAACACAGTAAAGCTGCTGGTAAAGGAAGTGACTCCGTTGCGGGATTTGGAAATGCTGACCTTCAGCAGGACCTCCACTGGGTAATGGTCGCTCACATCTAGAGCCTGAATGGAAGAGAGGAGAAACAGAGCAAACACCCATACTTTTTACATTTGTGATGACAGAAATGTTTCAATGTAGAAGCTCTGCCATTTTTGGCCTTTCAGTGAAGAATCAGAACATTCTACTGTATAAAAAATATATGCATAATCAAGACACATATATGGATTTGCTCTTATGGTTGTGGATATAAAGCCAGGATGACACGTTTACATAAAAAAAAACAATCTCCACACCTCTTCTTCTGTTAGTCTGTACTCCTGTTGGAAGTTAAATGGTTGGGCTGAGGAAGGAACAACTTCTCCTTTGAACTTTTCTCCATGGATGACAATCCTGTTGGAAAATCAGAAGTGGACAGAAGAGGTATGATCACTTATGCTTTTTTAGTAATATAGATTTTCTGTACACAAAGTGAAATGTTTGCTAATCAATGTGGATTTAAGCAAGCAGAAAACTCAACACAATGCTAGATTGTGTCCAATCAGATACATCATCATTCTAGTTGATATCTAATAATGTTTTGGTTATTCTGACCTAAAAAAAACAACAACAAAGGATTAATTTTATTATGTGAGCAGATTAAACCTGCAGGATGATGCAGAGTTCACCTGTCGTAGGAGCAGGACGTGCTGAGCTTCACAGTAGTGTCAGTGTTGTCTCCTATCAGCCAATGGAGGTTCCTGTCTGTAATCAGACGCACTTTGTCCCGGTTCTTCTTTGCCAGGTAACCGCAGTCGGCGTTGAAGTCCCCGAGAAGCATCACGTTCTGGTAACATTCAGAATCACGCGAGATTCATTGATTGCAGCAGATTTAAACCGTTCTTCGGCAATGACCGGCATTGGCATTTACCTCAGTTTTCCACATCCTTCTTACTTTCTGCAGAACGTCATACAGGGCATCCAACTCTTTAGTGGTGTTAGTCGGAGTGGTGTGTTGAGGGATGAGAACAAACTCCTGTATAGCTTGAAATAGGGAAAAGGGAAAATAAGTAAGGATGGAGGAAAAAAAAGTATATGATAATAAATGTTTAAAACAAACAAAAAAAAACCTCACAGGTCTTTGGGGCTTTGAAGCGAACAACAAAAGGTTCTCTGGAGAAAGCATCTTCATCTCCAGGCACATTGTCTGGGTACTGATACTGATCAGTAACCATCACAGTGTTGGTCCTACATCCATTCAGATGAAGAAAGGAGCGATATTTATGTGTAATACAAGTTGTAGTACATTGGTGCATGAAGCAGTACAGCTTACCTGTAGACGAACACGTACTGCTCCTGGTATGACTCCGTCCTGCCCAGCCTCTCACTGGCCAAAAGGTCATACTGGTTCCTCGTGTCATACCTGAATAACCCACACATAAAGCAGATCCAACAATTGTTACTAATATTATTGGTAAGAAAAAAAGCCAGTCAGCTGGTTCACTAACCTCCTGATGGTTTGGAGCAGCTTTGATACGGCTGTTCCTTTACGGTCTCTGACCTCCTGAAGCAAACACACGTCACAGCGAGTAATGATCTGAAACAGACGGGAAACAGCAGAGTTACGGCTCCGTGTGGACACTGACAGGGTGAATCCTGTCCACCACCACATCTGTATCTTTTTGCCTCTAAACTGATGATGAGAAGTTAAGAAAACCTCCTCATCTGGAGATAGTTACTTCTCAATCAGTAACTATCACTTAACCTACTGACCATGAAGCCGGTGTCTACAAGTTTTGACTATTTCTGCTATATGACTTCAATTTCATAGCATCCATCCATCCATTATCTGTTCACCCTTGTCCCTAGTCAGGAGGTGCTGGTGCCTCTCCAGCTGCGGTCCGGGCGAGAGGCGGGGTCACCCTGGACAAGTCGCCAGTCTGTCGCAAATTTCATAGCATGTCACTTTCAATTATAAAGCCAAGCAAATAAGAGGATCAATAGACGTCAAGATTCTTTGTGTTGAAAAACTACACCGTGTTCCAAATTATTATGCAAGTGATATTTTCTCAGATTTTCTTAAATGGTCAATGCAAATGATGGTCAGTATAATTTTCAAGAATACAGTATAAATCAAATTTTACTGAACAAAGCTCCCCATGAGAACTGTATTTTTTTCCAAACATAAAAAACTCCAATTGCACTGTTCCAAATTATTATGACCAGCAGATTTTCTAAACATTTAAGGATCATAAAGAACTGCAAAGAGTCATTCTTTGACTGCGCAGCATTAAGTGTGCACATGTACTAAAATAAAAAGCTATTTCAATCAATCCTCATTATGCCTTTATCTGTACAAAGCCATCTTTGTTCTGAATCGGCCACAAATCTCTTCACAGTACAATGATAAAGCTTCAGTTTTCGTTAAATATATAATGTTTTCATACCTTGTCATAGGGCACTACACTATCTGATGATTTGCATCAGCAGAGATCCTTTCTCTTTCCCATATTGCTTGAAACCTGTGGCCTGCTCAATAATGTGGAACATCCTTCTTAAATAGTTTTCCTTAAATTGAGCTCAACAGACAAACTAATCAACCCAGATCTCTGAAATTAATGATAGTGATTCAAAGAGCCCCGACACACAATAAATTTAATAGCACAATGAAAAATTTTATCTGTGTGGCACTTAAAACCAATTTGCATAATAATTTGGAACAAGGTGTATTTAGCATCTAAGGCTGACACAAACCTTTGTTCATCAAAGCTCTAAAAATGCTTCATGTTTGTGTCTGTGATTTTTTTTTAAATAAATACATTTTCCATTTGAATCCAGTGAAGTTTATGAAAACAAACTGCAACCAATTTAACTGGACCTCAATGGCAATATAAAACTGCAACAATCACAAGGAAAACGTCAAGATCAGTATTATTTAGTATTTTCAAGCACTTTAGATCTTCTTGAATGACACGACATAGATACTCTGCGTGGAAATATTCTGCCAGCACAACAATATCGCAACAGCACGACCAAGTCCTCACCCTGGCCAGAGTTATCATGATCTCGTTCTTGCTAGATTTGGATTCCCCGAAATGATGAAGATTGAAGGCACAGATTCTGAACTTGGATCCTCCTCGAACATCAGCCACACCCAGCAGGAGGGACAGCAGGAGGGACAGCAGGAGGGACCTGGACGTCATCGCTTACAGCTGGAGACACACAGTGTTTCCAAATACATCATAACAAATAGAAACGAAGACATGACCACATACTATCTTCACTTCTAGGATGTTTAGAAAGAAAGGGAAAGATGAACCATATTCACATTCTTACATATTATCTAGCAAGGAAAAGTTAGAAATATGCAACATTACATTATTCCAATCGTTTGTTTTATTCCAATCAGGAATTTATTGTAAACCGCATTTGCACATTCAGTTCAACAAAAGTTGGTGTTAAACTTACAGAACAGAACTCTGATAAATGGGACCCAGAATTCATATAAAGCTCTTGCCAAATTCTAATGGCTCCAAAATGCTAAACTGCTCCTCTTATGACTTTTAGCATTTCTCTCTGATGACTGAAGAATCCCAGTCAGATGTTCAAAGAGTGTGATATTGTTTTAGAACCTAACCTGTCTGCTATGTTCCTTGTTCTTCATTTTGCTGTTTGCTCATTTACAAACATCTGACAAAGAACAACTTCAGTATGACTTTGGATTTCAAAGTCCTGTTTAGTGTAAAAGAGGATGTATACAAACACACTTCGTTTTTTTTAGTTTCACAACGTTAAAAAATGTGAGATGTGTCAATCATTTTTGCTTTTACTTTGCAATAATGCACTGCTTAGTGTTGGTCTGTTGCATAAAACCACTGTAAACTTTAAGTCAGTGTTTGCAAAGAAAAGCAAGAAGAGACAGAGATGATATGAGCAGTCTCACAAGGTGCTGTCAGTGCATTTCTCCCAAATGAAGCCAACAATAGAAGATCCTGTTGCTGTGGAAAACATCAAAACATACCATTAACACTCAACAGCTGGACTTTCATTTCTATTTCCCCAAACAGTGTGTAGATCCAGGCAACTCTGGAGCATACACTGTATGGAACAGTGTGCGTGTGTGTGTGTGTGTGCGTGGGGGTGTGTGTGTGTGTGCGTGTGTGTGTGTGTGTGCGTGGGGGTGTGCGTGTGTGTGTGCGTGTGCGTTTCCTTAAGGAAAAAAACATCTCTATTGTAAGAATGTCATTCCTCTGAATGACACGTCAGTGGAACAGACCTGCTCAAAGTTCTGTCCCAGATCAAAACAAACCTATAAAAAGTGAGTATGCCTCCTCATCTTTCATAAAGGCGTTCTGTTGTGTCCACAATGAAACATATCTGACAGAACATGTACACTCTTTTCCTCCCTCCTGCTCTGTTTTCCAGCTGCAATCAGAAATATTCTTCCAGTTATTCAGGTTAATCACCAGGTTCCTCTGGAAGTTCCCCTGCCTCAAACTTCAGAAGAATGAAGATTTACTCAAAGCAAAGCAGCAGAACGTAACTTACCCTGTTTTCTCTCTGTCTTCTCTCCGCTGAAACTCAAAACTGGGCGGCCTTCTTTATTTCCTGTGGGTGGGACTAAAACATGGTCCACATTCACAGCTGCTACTGGTTATTTTCAGCTAGAAAATGATCAAAGAAAACTCACTACCTAATGAAGTGACCTCATCCTGGTGAGATATGACAAGACACAAAATACTGATTTGAGTTTAGCTACTGGATATTGTCAGACAGGCTTCATTTGCTGAGGTTTCACTTTTTATTTTAGGCATAAGAAAGTCATGTTTCCTGATTTCACTCCTTGTGTTGCATGTTCTGCAGACTCAAGCGTCCCTAGAAAATCATGAGACTTTCTTTTTTGGTAGATATATGTGACATCTTTTCCCGTCATGCACACAGTAGAGGTCTGTTGGGTGAATTTTCTGTAATGAGTGGTCAATAGCAAACAGCACAGTGAGCCTCTCTACTGCTCCACTAGTTCTGTGTACACAATAGAGCACTGAACAGACTGTGTCTTACAAATAATTATTACAATCGGGTTTAACAACATATTTTTCTAACAGGTGATCATATAGTGATTTTTGATTGATTGATGAAATTCATCTTTAGAATGAATTTCATACAATTTGGTCTTTCTTTCATAAATGAAACAAATCAGAAAAGTAAACATAGACCGCAGCCAAATGTAACTATTAAACAATTTAACAGCAACCCCCAGTGTTTCACAGAAACTATTGTCGCTATTGTCTGCAAAATCAGAAGTTTACATACAAAATAATTACTATCTCTTTAAACATAAAAAAAAAAGCCCAAATGACGATGTCATGGCTTCAGAAGCTTCTGATAGGTTACCTGACACCTAATTGGAGGCTCACCTGTAGACTTATTTCAAGGCCACACCTGGAACTCTCTGGTTTCTGGTTTGACAAGATGAGAAAGTTAAAAGAAATCAGACATCAGGATGAGAATCAAGAGCAGCATTCTGGTTGTGTTCTGGGAACAATTTTCAGATGACACCTTTTGTGCCCTCGAGTCTCTTGGAACCAATGCCCCCACATTTGGGGGCAATAACTGACGAGACAGTCATTATCCACAGTGAAATGTCCTGTACTGGTCTGGGCCTAAAGGTCCCTCAGTGAGGACGAAGCCTTTACTTTAACAGAGACAAAGAAGGCAGACTGCAGTTTGCAGATGCATAAAGGGACAAAAAGCTTCATTTCTGGAGACACGTCCTATGGTCTCATGGAACTAAAGTGGGACAGTTCATGACTGTGAAGCATGATGGCAGCATCATGTTTGTGGGGCTATTTTGCTGCAGGAGGATCTGGTGCACTTCACAAAATAGATGGCATCACGAAGAAGGAATGTGAGAATCTTACAGTTTCTCCGGCTGAGCCGTGCATCTCTGAGGCTCCAGTCACCACAGACCCAAAATCAAACTTGGTTGAAACCACCTCCTCTCTGAGCTGAGCTGGGTTCTTGTGTTTTTATGATGCTGTTTGTTCACAGCAAACCTCCGAGGCCAGGAATACATCTGGAACTGTGCTGATGTTGGACTCTATCGAATAACTTCTGAAGGCAACACAAACCAGCAATAAAAAACAAAACATATAAGCTGGATCAGTGCTGGATCAGCAGCACGAATCAACTTGATCTGATTGGTCGTCACAACCACTGAAAAGCTCTTCAAAGATTAATCTAGAAAGTTGAATTTCCATCAAAAAGGAATGAAATGAAGAAATGTAAACTAGATCCTTTAATGTAGATTCTGATCTAGAATATCTGCACAGTAGTATTTTTGCTCTGCTCTGGACAACTTCTCTCTTTTTACTACTTCATTTGACATTGTCATTTTTGATACAATACTCTGAAATTTGACTCATAATTTTACTGTGTATAAACAAACATGACATATCTCAGCCTAGAGATCTGGGGCCTCATGCATAAAGCAAGCTTGCGCATAAAATATGTGCGGCGCCCTATTTCACGCACATGTCGGCATGACTGAAAATTTACTCTGTCGAGGTTTGCGTAAATACGCACATTTGTTCGCTGGCGTGAAAATGTGCGGGAGCCACGCAAACTTTTTCTGTGGACAATATCAAACTACAAAGCGTCAGAATTCACCTAATTACACAGAAATCTGTGTTATTTAGACCACGAAGCATCGAACCAGGTGGGTTTTCTTCATGATTTTAATATTTTATTGTTAAAACTAAACAATGAAACTGAACTAAGACGCACACAAAATAAAGAAAGCAAAAAGGATGCGAAAACCTCACTAGAGGTTTCCTCAGTTATTGTCTCATAAAGATTTAGGGGTCACTTCATCCTCACAATAAATAAAAAAATATATAAATAGAATATAACATGGGTGTATCAGCAGATTAATTCCAAACAGGAGTTAATCCTGTTTGGATTAAGTCAGATTACATAATTTACACATTAAGCAGTATTTTAAAGGTGATAGAGGTGTGAAGATAATCACACAAATTTAAGTAGCCGCATAAAGGTGAGCCGCTTTGGCTCTGATGGAGAACATTTATTTTATTTGGATTTTTTTCCCCCTCTTTAAAATGTATTATATTTTTGTGAGGTTACCTTGTTCCCTAAAAGCACCCTTTATTGTATTGCTACAAACAAGGACGTTGCCATGGTAATTGCTTCACGTGGATGCAGACTTCCAGGTATTTATAATTTACATCTTTATGCAGGTGAGAATTTAGATGTACAAAGGAAACATGGCGTCCAAGAGCGCTGTACTTTTCTAAATTTTTCCATACGCCATGTTTTAGTGTGAAAACTGCGCACTCTTTAATGCATGAGGCCCCTGGTGTATTTATGTATATACAGTTACATATTTCAACAAAGCCAAGCACAAGTTAACAAGATCAACTAGTTTGGTTTCATTTGCACCAGTGAAATCTGTTCCATAATTCTGGATTTCACTTTAGAAATAAAAAATGAACCACAACATTATTTTTGTACTCAAATCCATTTATTGGTTTCCGGCGCACAGGAAGTGTGCAGGAGGATTAGTTCGCATGAAGGGCCTTCCAGTGGGACAGCGGCCCCCTGCTGGGGATGTACTTCACCCCGCAGCCGTCAGGGATCAGGCGTTTCTCGGCCATCATCTCGTCGAAGTCGCAGGCGTTGAATTTGGTGAAGCCGTACTTCTTGGAAATGTGGATCTGCAGATCAGAGTGATGATGTGTTATCACAGCTCAACAGCAAAATTAGCCAGTAAAATCCATGATGTGTTTGTCTCAGTGGTCCCTTAAAGCACTCAGCACCTCCCAGCTGAGGACATACACAACCAGAGAGTCGCTGTCTGCAGCCTTTGCACACCAGAACCACACAGCAGAGGAACTGGTCGGCTTAATAAGCTGCAGAGTTCAAATTTCCCTCCGATTCCAGTTTTTTTCCTATTTACCTTCTGGCGTCCGGGGAACTTGAACTTGGCTCTGCGCAGAGCCTCCACCACATGCTCCTTGTTCTGAGCCTTGGTCCTCACAGACATGATGACCTGGCCGATGTGCACCCGGGCCACTGTGCCCTGCGGTTTACCAAACGCACCACGCATTCCAGTCTGGAGCCTGGGAACAAACAGCAACCATCAGACTGGAATCCACTGAGCACAAATAAAAGTGTGTGTGTGTGTGTGTGTGTGTGTGTGTGTGTGTGTGTGTGTGTGTGTGTGTGTGTGTGTGTGTGTGTGTGTGTGTGTGTGTGTGTGTGTGTGTGTGTGTGTGTGTGTGTGTGTGTGTGTGTGTGTGTGATCACCTATCAGCTCCGGCGCAGGACAACATTTTGTTGATGCGGATGACGTGGAAGGGATGCAGGCGCATGCGGATGTGGAAGCCATCTTTACCGCAGGTCTTCACCATGTACTTGTTAGCACAGATACGAGCCGCCTCCAGAGCTAGAGGACAGAACAGGATGGTTAATGGGCTGGGGCGCCATGACGACCAAATGGAAGTCCTATTGGACGGCTGTTTCAGAGGACGGACGATGTTCTACAACTTTTACCCAGACAGGACCTGCACCTGAAACATAGGACACTGAAACAATTCAGACACTGAAGAGAAGTTCTGTATATATCCATTGATGTTTCCACATCTGTAACTTTCACTACTTGTGGACTGGTGACAAGCTGATCACCACCTTGTGATCAGCTTGTCACAAGCTGGTTTGTAGGAATGACATCCTGAACCTGCAGAAGCAGGTCTGGATTCGGAAGGTTTCTCAGTGGAACTCAGAGGAACTGAAATGGAGCTTGTGGTTGTAAACTAACAGGCTGATTAATTTCAGTTCTGATGAAACCTACACTGAATCATTCTGCACTGATTACAGATCCAATTGTTCAACATTTGTCTCCAAATTCATTAGCCTTCCTTCACTTTCATGATCAGCAGGGAAAAAAACTCAAAAAACTATCTTTACATTAAAGTCCAATGAAATGAGAGATTCACCACAAATTCACAGCTGAACCTAGAACCAGTTCTTAAATGGAGTAAATATTTTAGTTTGACCCAATTTTAGCAGCTTTAGTATGAAAAATAACCTAAACTTTTATAAAATTTATTTTATTTCTGCTTGCAGTCATTGGACCGTGGCTCCCTTTGAGTGAGTCAAATGACTTCACTGACATCTCCAGTATCCCCAGAATATTCCACATGTTTAAATTTAAAAACACATCACAATACATCAATCATTAACACACTTTATGATAACCAATGGCTTAGGAGGACGTTTTTTCAGGTTCTGCTGGGACAAAACAGGAGGACGAGAGCTGGCTAATGAAACAACAACTCTTCTGAACAGAACAGACTTACACGCTAAACTGTAGAAATATAGTTAGTACCAATTCTGTCATTTAAAAAAACTATAAGGACAAACTAGAAGAACATTCTTACCTTCTGAGGACAGCTGCTCATACTCATCAGACACCATGTGGGCGCAGAGAGGAAACTCGTCCACCTTGGCCTTCTTCCTGCCCAGGTCAAAGATCCTGATCTTAGGATCTGCAAAAAGAGAGAAAAGAAGATGAAGA